GGCCAAGCAGGGCGGCGAGGGCGACGCGGACACCCCCAAGAAGTTGGTGTTCCGCCGGCTGAAGATCATCAGCGAGAACAGCATGGACAGCGCCATCTCGGACACCACCAGCGAGCTGGAAGGGAAGGAGGGCAAGGAGGACTTGGACCAGCTGGAGGCTGCCCCAATGGAGGTGGCAGAGGAGCAGCAGCAGCAGCAGCAGCAGCAGCAGCAGGAGATCAAAAGTGCTGTGGAGGCGCCGGTGGAGAGCAGCAAAGCCCAGCCTGCAGAGCTGGAGGCCGAGCCCGAGGCAGAGGTCAAGGAGAGCAATGGGGCGAAGCTGGAGGAGCCCATGGCCATGGAGACACCGTCGCAGGATGAGGAGGAAGGAGTTTCTGACGTGGAGAGCGAGAGGAGCCAGGAGCAGACGGATAAAATCGTGGATGTGAGCGACTTGGCCACCAGGCTGCTCGACAGCTGGAAGGAGCTCAAGGTAAGAGGCAGCTCTGTGCAGCTTCAGCTCCTGGAGCTAAGGAAAACGTGGATTTGGTGGTGGTGTGGTGCACATGGGGCTGTTTTGATGTCTTTTGGTCAATATTTGGTATCTAAGTGGCTTTTTCCACACAAAAAGTGCTTTCTGTCTAAGTCCTCTGGTGGCAGCTGCCCTGGGTGTGACCTGAGAAATGTCCAGGTGTTGGTGACACCAGCAGCTCGTTGGGTTTGGGCACACAAGGACACCTTGGTCATCCCCTCAGACTTCCAGGGAAAGGGCAGCTCTGAGGGATTGAGATTCCCTTGAGCATTTTGTGTGGAAACATCCCTCAGTGTGGAAACAGATGGATGGACTTTCTGCTCCTGAATTCCATCCTTGGAGCTGTTCATGGCTACTCCTGAATGGCCCATCCCTGGAAATGTCCAAGGTTGGATCAGGCTTGGAGCAGCCTGGGATAGTGGAAGGTGTCCCTGCCCATGACAGGGAGTGGAATTGGATGATCCTTAAGGTTCTCCCCAGCCCAACCATTCTGGGGTTCTCTGAGTTGAGTTATCCCAACATGCCAAACTTTTCCTGTCCCCCCAGCCCAACCATTCTGGGATTCTCTGAGTTGAGTTATCCCAACATCTCCAGCTTTTCCTGTCCTTTGATCCTCTCTGTTGATCTGCACCGTGTGAAGGCTCTGTTGGCCCTGCCAGGTTCCCTCCAAGGCAGTGTTGGATCATCCCCTGGCTGTTCACAGTCGGAAGTGCCCAGATTTGGGTGTTATTTGGGACTTCAGTGGTTTCACTCCCATCAGGGTCTTCTGGAGCAGGAAACCTCTTCAAGAGAAGGCCTTGGTGGCTCCCTCTGTCCTCTGGAATCGTGTCCCTGTCCCATAGGTGGCCAATGGGATCTGCAGCCACCTCCAGCTTTTAGTGGGATGTAGGATGACATTCCAGCAATGGTTCTAAAGTAAAAGACAAAAGATTTAGATTAATGGTTAAGAAAGAATTAATTCCTCCTGTGAGGGTGGGCAGGCCCTGGCACTGGTGCCAGAGCAGCTGTGGCTGCCCCTGGATCCCTGGCAGTGCCCAAGGCTGGAGCTTGGAGCACCCTGGGGACATTGGGTGGTGTCCCTGCCATGGCAGGGGTGGCACTGGGTGTCCTTTGAGGTCCCTCCCCATCCAAACCATTCCATGGCTCTGTGGATCTCACTCCCCACTCAACACTTCAGCCATTCCTTGGGTTTCTTTAGGTCTTTGGGAGCTCCTCACGGATCCGCTGCTCCCGCAGGATTTCATTCCATGTGTTATTTCATATTCCTTACATTCAAGGCCAGGAGGGCTGGGAGCCTCTTTAATGAGCCCAAACCCAGGGATTCCTGAGGATCCAGCAGGAATTGAAGGCACTGCCACAATTCCAGCTTCTTGTGGGCTTGGTGGGACTTGGAGGATTTCTGCCCTTCTCTTAATCAACCCCCAGCCCTGCTTTAATTACTGGAGGTGGTTTGAAGCAAATCCGTGTTTTCTGATGCATCATGGAGCTAAGGAGTTTATTTACCCATTGACTTTGATAATGAGTAATGATTGCAAGAGGTTAATTAAAATAATGGGTGTTAATTGTGCAGTGGAACCAGCGCAGGTGCAGGAGACCTCACCTTAAGCTTTGCTTGTGCCATTTCTGGAGCTGCAAACACCAGAATTTAGAACTGCAGAGATTCCCAGGAGAATTCAGGGACATTTTACCTCAGTCTGAATTTTTCAGGAGGATCAGATACTCCTGAACCTGCACAGATTTTGGGGCACAATCATTTGTGACAGAAATCTTAGGGGGGAAGGGATGGGGTAAAACACATTTCTGTAGTGCTTTCCTTCCTTTTCTCCAAGTGGATCTGATCATTTACCAGATTTGAATTTGCAGACTCTTGGTGTGGTTTTCCTCTCAAAGTGACACTGTCAGGTTGGATTTGTGGTTCAGTGGGGAAAAGTCCTTTTCCATTGTTGCCAACAGAATTGTTAAGGTTGGAAAAGACCTCCAAGATCAAGTCCAAGCTGTTTTAAAGTAAAAGTTAAGTCAGGCCTTAGTCCTGCTCTGCTTTGGAGACTTGTTTTGGGTATCCAGACTGAGTTTCTCCTTTGGAACAGCTGTGTTCCCTTCCACACTCCTGTACACAAAACAGCACAGAGAAAATGATAAAATATTAATAAAATGTGTGAAATTTCACAAAACTCCCCCAAAACATTGGTTTAAGACCAGATTTGATCTGATGGTGTCGTTTTATCCCCAGGATTTGTGTTTTCTCTGGAGCTTGGAGAAGCTCAGCTTGGGAATCTACAGAGTTTTGTTGAAGTTGTGGTGGGACCTAAAATACATCTAATACATTCCCGTATTTTAGATGTGGATTCTCATCCTCTCTGTGTATTTATTAATGATCCTCAGGTCGTGATCTGATTGTAGGGATGGGGTTGGATCCCATGAGCTTGGAGCAATCCCAGCAAATCCACCCCAAAAAAGCAGGATCGTGGCACGGGGCTGTGACAATTCATTTCTCTCCCACAAAACAATTGTAGGGAAACTGGGAGCTGGGAATTTATCCTGTCCTGGACTTTTTCATGGCTCCAGGAGTTAACTGCCTCTGTCCAACTCTCGCCTCATCAGGTGCCACCAAAGCCCACCCCGGATGTCTAAAAGACAAATCCAAGCTGGAAGGGGGATGGATATCTCACCCCCAGCACATCCAAGCTTTGGAAAAGCCGGGATTTTGGCGTGGTGGAACACCTGGCACTGTCTGGGGGGCGGGAGGGTCGGAAACGTGGTGACTTTAGCGCTGTCCTCTCCAGCCTTGCTGACCACCCCCTTGTAATTTCCACCGTTTCCATCCAGCTTCTCCGGGCAGCCAGAGCTGACCAAGGGGCTCCTTTTCTCCAACTCCGTGCGGAAGAAGGGAGAGGACATAGCGCCAAGAGCCGGGAAGATGGTTGGGAAGCTGGCTGATGCATGAGCAGTGTGATAGGTGAAAGGAGGACAGAGGTGGTTAACTCGGGGATGCCGACGTTATTTTGGTGCGTCCATTGCCGGCAATGGACGTCGCTCCGGGGAAATCCCAGCTCCTGGCCTGAGAGGATTTAAGTGAGCTTGATTTTTTTCTCTACCTCTACACACAGGACTTGTGAGTCCCTCCCAGGGCTCGCTGAGGAGTGCTGGCCACGGCCGCACCCCTGGCACGACACACACACACTCACTCACATTCCTGGCAGGATGAGTTTTCAGCCCGGGCTCGTGGGCGCCGTTCCCGCTCTCTGAGGAAGCGCTGCATGGCTTCTCCCGGGCTCAAAACTCCCTTCCAGTCCCACAGCACCCAGCAAGGCACAGCTGTGGTGCTTCCACGGGGTTCTCCCAGGTGGATTGTGCTCAGGTAAGGCTCAGTGGGCTGATCCGTGTGGAGAGGCCATGCTGGAGGTGACACATGGTATGATGGCCAACAGAACTCTTGGAATCACTGGAATATGCCATAGGGCCGAGCTTGGGAAGCTCTTCCCAACGTCCTGAGGTTGATAGCTGAGTTCAGGGACAGAGAGGATGTTTTGGTGCTGCTCTGCCTCACGTGGGACCGAGCTTTGGGAATCTTCCCCACCCCAGAGGAGGCCCTCACCTTCTGGGAAGGGGTTGTGGCTCTGAGGATCCACAGGTCCTTCCCTTGTGACTTGGAGAAGGTCTTGGTTTTAGGAAACATCTTTTGTTAGAGCCAGTCTTGGGTGTAAAAGGTTTTATTGGGATACTTCTGGCCTTGGGAGCGTTTGCGGTGACTTGGAGCTCAAGGCTGAGTCCTCACCCTGACCTGGGCCAAAGTGGATTTTTTTTGCACTTAATAATCATGGAATCAGGGAATTGGAGAGGTTGGAAAAGCCCTCAGAGATGATTGAGTCCAACCATGCTCTAGCACTACCAAGGCCACCCTTGCTCCCTGTCCCCAAGTGCCACATCCACAGGGATTTTAAATCCCTCCATGGATGGCAACTCCCCCCTGCCCTGGGCAGCCTCTTCACTGCGGGACAACCCTTTCCATAAGGAATTTCCCCAATATCCCACCTGATCCTCCCCTGGAGGCCATCTCACCCTGCATGGGACATCTTGGGTGACCAAAGGCAGCTGAGCTTCCATCTTCCCCTGGGCTGCTCTTTCCAAGTCTCCTCTGATTTATCCTTGAAGCTGCTCTGGCCTGTCCCTTTCCCAGTGAGGCCATCCTGGAGTGCCTGGCTCTGGCTCCAGCACGCACATCCCGTGCTTTAATCAGGAATTTTATAATTTGTTATAACTTAGAGCAAGGGATAGCTGGGGAAAACAATAGGATTGGGGAGCAGCCAGGCCGTGGTTTGCTGTGGGATCTTCTGGCCTTCAAGCAGGGATGTTGTGGTGTTGGCCCAAAGAAAACACAAATCCTGGGGGATTAAATGACACCATCAGATCAAATTTGGTCTTAAACCAACATTTTGGGGGAGTTTTGTGAAATTTCACAGATTTTATTAATATTTTATCATTTTCTCTGTGCTGTTCTGTGTACATGAGTGTGGAAGGGAACACAGCTGTTCCAAAGGAGAAACTCAGTCTGGATACCCAAAACAAGTCTCCAAAGCAGAGCAGGACTAAGAGGAGAGAGGAAGGGAGGGAAGAGGATCCAGCCTGGTAGGGGATGGGTTTGGTTGTGTTCTTCCTCCCACAAATCAACAGAAGCTCATAGAATCATAGGATAAACTCATGGAATCATTGAGGCTGGAAAAACCTCCAAGGTCATCAAGTCCAGCTGTTAGTTCAGGAGTGACAGAATTGTGTGGAAGGTTCCATCAAGACCCAATCTTCCTTTCCCACTGCAGAACCCTTGGAGCTGTGACTCCATCCTGCAGCTCTTCCCTTTCCCAAGCCGAGGCTGGCTCATGCCTGAGGCTGGACAGCCTAAACCCCATTTTTTCCCCCCTCTTTTGTGTCACTTTTCCTCCTGCCTTTAATTTGGCGTGCAGTGCCTTCAAAGCCGCCGCGCTGGGCGCTCGGGAGCCATTTGGAGCCCGTTAGCGGCGGCCGCGCTGATTGAGGAATCCTGCAGCTCCGAGCCAGCGGCTTCCGTTTCCAAAAATAAAACTGCCTTGCCTTGGGAGTTTCCCCAGCCTGCTCCGACCACCATCTGCTTCTCATGGAGCAATTTGGACAAATCCCTCCGTTTGTTCCTGGTTCAAAGCCTTTTGCTGCCTCCATCTTCCCACACGGGGTGGATGCTGGAGGCTCCGTTGAGCGGGGCTGGAGTTTCTCTCCACCAGCACAGAGCTCGCTCCCTGCTCATCCTCACCTTGGATTTTGGGCTTCCTGGACTTTAGGGCTGGCCAGGTTGTTGGGTTGGATCTGGAGTGGGCACCCCAATGTCCTGGTGAAGTTAGAGCAAGGCATGGCAGGGTGGCAATGCCAGGATTATCCCCTTACTCCAGGTGCTCCTTATCCTCCTTCTCTTCCCATTGAGCCTTTTCCCAGTGGTTTCCATTCCCCATCCTGCTCTTTCATGGGAGAGATCTTTGTTAGGAGCTGGGGGCTTGGTGTAGTTGA